AAAAATGACAGTTCTGTTAGCTGAAAAGACTTCAGCGAACATCAAAATAAAAGTGACATATAAAGTTAACCCATTGCTTCATGAGCATTTTGTGAAAAATGGCTGTTTTCATTGAAAAGTCTCCCGTTACAAGTTCAAATTGCTATAATACTATAAAAACTGCTTCAACACTAATCAAACTTGGCACAAATGTTGACTGGACCATTGTCCTTGCAACAACATGCTCAGGCTTAAATTTTCTGTTACCATGGCAACGAGGGGACATCTCAAAATTGCCAAAAATCACTATTTTGCGTTGATTTTTTCCATCAAAATTGATTTCAAAGTGCTGCAACTTCTCAATGGATTGAGATAGAGTCAAATGCTTTTCAGCGTTGGTTACACGTTACCTTATGATCAATCTGGGGTCATTTACAGCCTCTCACAAGTCCAAAATTTTCTTGGCGATGAGGGGGACTCCGCCCCCCTTCAAACCCCCCAAACAGAAGGGGGCACATCCCCCTTCTGGCAACCCCCCGATGTATCTTTTGGTTGGGGGGCCGCGCCGAAAAAAGGGTCACTTTTTTTAACAACATTTCTCAAACAAAAACAAGTGTTTGGGGCCTAAATAAGGCATTTTTTCATCATTTGAGACAACAAAAAGGGGGGGGGGTGAAAAAGGCGTTAAAAGGCGTGTATATGAAGTAATGGGTTAACAGAAAATGATGAAAATACTTGAAATTACCCTAAATCGCGTTTTTTCATGTTTAAACATGGCCTGTCATATAAATTTGAAGAAAAATTGTTGTTTTGTAGATTTTTTTATTTTTTTCATTAACCCATTGCTTCATGAGCATTTTGTGAAAAATGGCTGTTTTCATTGAAAAGTCTCCCGTTACAAGTTCAAATTGCTATAATACTATAAAAACTGCTTCAACACTAATCAAACTTGGCACAAATGTTGACTGGACCATTGTCCTTGCAACAACATGCTCAGGCTTAAATTTTCTGTTACCATGGCAACGAGGGGACATCTCAAAATTGCCAAAAATCACTATTTTGCGTTGATTTTTTCCATCAAAATTGATTTCAAAGTGCTGCAACTTCTCAATGGATTGAGATAGAGTCAAATGCTTTTCAGCGTTGGTTACACGTTACCTTATGATCAATCTGGGGTCATTTACAGCCTCTCACAAGTCCAAAATTTTCTTGGCGATGAGGGGGACTCCGCCCCCCTTCAAACCCCCCCAAACAGAAGGGGGCACATCCCCCTTCTGGCAACCCCCTGGTTGGGGGGCCGCGCCGAAAAAAGGGTCACTTTTTTTAACAACATTTCTCAAACAAAAACAAGTGTTTGGGGCCTAAATAAGGCATTTTTTCATCATTTGAGACAACAAAAAGGGGGGGGGGTGAAAAAGGCGTTAAAAGGCGTGTATATGAAGTAATGGGTTAACAGAAAATGATGAAAATACTTGAAATTACCCTAAATCGCGTTTTTTCATGTTTAAACATGGCCTGTCATATAAATTTGAAGAAAAATTGTTGTTTTGTAGATTTTTTTATTTTTTTCATTAACCCATTGCTTCATGAGCATTTTGTGAAAAATGGCTGTTTTCATTGAAAAGTCTCCCGTTACAAGTTCAAATTGCTATAATACTATAAAAACTGCTTCAACACTAATCAAACTTGGCACAAATGTTGACTGGACCATTGTCCTTGCAACAACATGCTCAGGCTTAAATTTTCTGTTACCATGGCAACGAGGGGACATCTCAAAATTGCCAAAAATCACTATTTTGCGTTGATTTTTTCCATCAAAATTGATTTCAAAGTGCTGCAACTTCTCAATGGATTGAGATAGAGTCAAATGCTTTTCAGCGTTGGTTACACGTTACCTTATGATCAATCTGGGGTCATTTACAGCCTCTCACAAGTCCAAAATTTTCTTGGCGATGAGGGGGACTCCGCCCCCCTTCAAACCCCCCCAAACAGAAGGGGGCACATCCCCCTTCTGGCAACCCCCTGGTTGGGGGGCCGCGCCGAAAAAAGGGTCACTTTTTTTAACAACATTTCTCAAACAAAAACAAGTGTTTGGGGCCTAAATAAGGCATTTTTTCATCATTTGAGACAACAAAAAGGGGGGGGGGTGAAAAAGGCGTTAAAAGGCGTGTATATGAAGTAATGGGTTAAGGAAGCCAGTTCTCTCAGTTTAACAAAGAGGAATATGAGTATATATGAAGATGTAAACAGATAGAATGAAGTCCCTATGTCTATGCACATTTACTATATGGCCTGTTGACCTTGACCAGAAAAAAATAGATAAGTAGAATTCATAAAAATGTCTCTTTATACGAAGTTAAGTTGTAATATGTTATTTAGTATTGGAATAAGTGACAGATACAAGTCCTAAAGTAAACACAAGTTGTCTATCAATTCAGCCAGAAAAGCCGGGATCCTATTAAAAAAAATAGGATCCCGGAAATTGACCAGTTCAAGAATATAGTTTTCAGAAAAACCGGGATCATATTAAAAAATTAAGAGATCCAAGGAATTGGACAGTTCAAGAATATTGTTTTCAGAAAAGCTGGGATATAGGGATCCCGGGATTTGACCAATTCAAGAATATAGTCTTTGATTTTTCCAATTAATTAGGCATATAATTATAAGTATTGTGATTTTGTTAATAAATAGCTCTAAATATATCTATATCCTAAGTTAAATCAATTTAACTTTCATTACATACAATAAAAAAACTTAACGTTTAATGGCCTTTCATTACGACAATAATCAACACAAATTAATAGTTTATTAGTTTTTTCCCTTATTATCTTATACGATCCCGGATCCCGGCCAGTAAATACATACACTAAATACCGGAAAGGATAAAATGACCGGAAAAAAGGAAAAAGAAAAAATGCACAGAACCAGATGTCGTTTAAATGTTAATTAACCAAACGAAAACTTACCACAGAGTAAACAGGACTGATGAAATCGCTAAATCAAAAGTCAGTGTAAATATGATTTACTGAAAAGAATCCATGAAAACAAACATTTTAATCATCAATATATCTTTGCGCTCAAAACAATACTTGCTGCTTTTTAAAAATGGCGTGAAAATTGAAGGTTTTTTGACGCTATATAAGATCAAATTTGATTGGCTAAATAATTTTGGATCCTAGCCCTGATAGAAAAATTTTGTAGAAAGCTGGAAGCTAAGCTTCGATTAAATTTTTGGATTGATTCGGAGTTTTAGGTTGTTTCTCAGTAAAATCCTATCGTAATACCGGCTCGCCGTGGCGAGCCGGCAACAGTACAAAATTCGTAGTCACGTGGTACACTTGCATTAACAGTAAGAATAACTCCCAGAGGCCTATGGGAAATTAGCATTACGAAAAAAGTGAGGGGTAATAATGATTTATACTATTCAGTTGCTTTTTAAAGGCCCATTACTCCCCTAGAATGCTTTTATTTTATTTCACAAAAGCTTAAATTATATTTGGTGTCCTGTTATAGTTTCCAAAAAGTTACTAAATTACGAATAAACAATGTTGCTTCAGTTGCTTTTTTGAGAATAAGTACAGTTATTGTGATTTAGTATTTTGTATGGAAGTCAATATACTATTTTGTTTACATTTTGCTACTTTTATAACAAATACTTTCACATTCAGCGCTACTATTTTTCAGGTTAAAGGATTCTTATATGCTCGAAAACCACTATTTAAACATAATTAACCCATGTTTGTCCATTCTAAAGAAGACAATGTTTTATTTTTTCTGAGGCATAATGTGACTTTAAATATTTAAAGCTATATCTGATGAAATATTAAATAAAACAATAAAATTATGATGTTTAAATAACTATATCGCCGATTCTAGAACGAATTGTAACAAAAAAATGTGTATGTACTTTATATTAATTTACATAAATATTGTTCGCAAACAGAATAAAATGAAACTATTCCGCTGTCATTTTACTAAGTTTGACAATGATTACACAAAACAAAATATTCAAGAAACAGCGAATCTTCTTGCACTAGTTTTGTTTTCAAACTAGAATTGAAAACACATCAATCATAAATACCAGTCAACCAATAAGATCAAATGGTAATTTTATAATTTAAATATTAATATAGAAAAAAGAAGAAACTTATTAGATTAGATAAAGCAAATAATAACTCAGCTTAGGTTGTAGGAAAACAGTACTTTATCGCATGAAACGAATATATCCATCGTTACAAATGAAAGACCAAAATATTACTAAATAGACCATTTTACGACGTGGTATGTTACTATGAAAAAAAATGACAGCATGTAGTATTTATCGTAGTTATGCTTTCAATGCCATCTTTGACATTTTACTTTATTTATTTTACTTTTTTATTTTTTTTATATCATTCCTATTTTTTTTTTATATCATTCTATTTTTTTCATCGTAATTATCGTACAGTATGTTATGAATTGTAACATTTAATGTATTTTTTCTTAAACATCATCAAATTACAGTTAATTACTTTCCCAGTTTATTTCTAACATATTAATGAATCTTCAAATATATAAATCACTTGGTCATCATTTTGCTATTTAGTTTCGTTAAAAAAACTTAATGTCATCATAACTTATTTTCATTTCTATATAATGTGTTAATACACTATATGAGATCATTGTCGATATCAGCATATATCTGTATGTTTGTTTCAAATGAACGGATTGTGTAAACACATGTTCCACATTTTCATTATATTTTTTTCTTTCCCGCGGTTGGGATAGGGTTGTCGGGTTTCTTTATTTATTTTTAAGGAAATACTTGTTAGTAGATTGGTGCATGTCAGTGGTCGGTTAGACTGCACTCATACTATGCAAGCGACTGGCTCCGTAATGGTACAAAGGGCACAAGGTTTCAGCAAGTTAAGGGTCAACAGTTATGTATAATGAACCTCATTTATCGAAAACTTTCATTGTTTCGACAGCAGCCCGTAATAGTAAATAATTTCATGTACAGAAAAAAGTTCAACTTGAGCAAATAAATTTTAATCATTTATTAAAGAGCATGATTAACACATTGATGAATAAAATCAATCAACTATTTCGTCCAGAAAAAGTGTGTTTGCTCTTTGAGTGAAGTAGCGATCTTTGCACTTTACCTGCAAAAAAGAAAAAAACAAAAAGCTATCAAATACTTAGAACAGTCGGGCAGTATATTGAACAATACCGTAAAAAAACTGAAATTAATTACTATTCGTATATTTTTGATAACTTGAAATTATCAAATAAAAAAATCCTTAACTGAAAAATAGGAAAATGCCACATATATATCCCTTACAAAAGAAGTAAAATGCTACATGTATATCTTATGCGGAACAGTTATAAAATGTACATTTATATCCTATTTACGGAACAGTAGGAAAAATATACTTAAAATGATATATCAATGATGGAAAAATAAGAAATACCTTTCTGGCTTACAACACCAGCATTCCTCGCAATTTGGGTAGAATTTATTATCCCCTTGTGTAAACGTATAACCTAATACATCTTCACACTGTTTTCTTTCATCTTCTGGTGTACGACCTGGTCCCATTGCGTTGACGTCTTCTTCAGTCCAGTCGTGACATACTAAATCTGTAATGTAGTGATTTTTCCGGAAAATAATAAAGAAATGTAAGACATATGTAAGACTAGTTAAAATTGAAGACTTTGCATATCTGAAAAAAAAATGAGAATAAAGATCAACAAGTCAAAGGCAACGTTCATAGGACGCAGACACCGACACACCGCAGCCAAAACACAACAGCAGCGTGCCCAGACGACACCAAACCAAGATCGGGTGTAGACAAAAGGACAGCAAAGGGGGGGATGGATACGCAATAAGTGAAACCATAAGAAGCAATAGAGAACCAAATGAAATAAAAGGGACATTGGCTGAAAGGGGAAAGAAAGGGGGTAGGGACAAGGGGAGGGGAGAAAATTCTAACCGTTTACGACATTTAACAAACCTTTCAATTCTTCAGATAAATCATTTGTTAGAAAATTATTGTTAATAGCAAAAAGTGAATTAAAATATCCTTACAGGCTTAAGCTAAAATGGCACACTGGTGGGACGATATGGGCGTCCGTGGCCGAGTGGTTAATGTCGTTGACTTCAAACCACTTGCCCCTCACCGCTGTGGGTTCGAATCTTGACAGGGACTTTGGATTCTTTCATGTTAGGAAGCTATCCAGCAAGCTTACGGAGCGTCGGTGGCTTTACTCAGATGTCCGTTCGTGCCTGAAATAATGCACGGAATGGCACCTGAGGCCTTTCTCCACCACTAAAGCTGGAACGTTGCCAAATGACCTATACTGTGTCGGTGTGACGTAAAACCCAAAACAAAAAAGCAAAAACAAACAAGATAAAACGCTCTGTGCTGTTTGAATTTTAAAGAAATGAAAGTAGTTAAGTTAGTCATATATCACTTAAAAACTACCTACGTCAGAAAGCAATTTTAATTCAATATACCTTTTGGTTTACAACACCCGCATTCCCCACATTCTGGGTAGTATTTATTATCCCCATTTGTAAACGTATAACCTAATACATCTTCACACTGTTTTCTTTCATCTTCTGGTGTACGACCTGGTCCCATTGCGTTGACGTCTTCTTCAGTCCAGTCGTGACATATTAAATCTGTAAAGTAATGATTATTCGGTAAAACATGTGAAAATTTAGGACTTTGCATATCTGAAAAAATTATAATGGACAATAAGCAGAGCATTATGTCTGACGACTCAATGAATATTACTTAATCCCTTCTTCAGTACACCGGATACCAGCTGATGAATGACATGCTGGTAGGACGGTTAGACTTGTGTGAATTTTTTTAAAAATGAAAAAAATTAAGTTAGCCATATAAAACTAAATAAATACAAAAAAACATTTTAAAGTTAATATACCTAATGGTTTACAACACCAGCAGTCGCCGCATTCTGGATATTTTTCATTATTCCCTTGTGTAAATATATAACCCAAGACACCCTCACAATATTGTCTTTCTTCCTCTGGTGTTCGACTTGGTCCCATCACGTTGTTGTCTTCTTCAGTCCAACGGTGACAAATGAATTCTGAAAAGTGGGGATTAATCCGAAAAAAACAAAAAAAAAATTACTAGCTTTAGAGACTTTGCATGCCTGAAAATGTTGAAAGCAGAAAAAAGCAGCATCAGTATTTTATCATTTAAAGCGTTTATTCATCTGATCTTTTTATTAAGCTAATTATGATACTTCCATATCATGTTAATTATTTTTACTAAATTATTATGTATAATACATACCGCCTTTACAGAAATCCACTAGCACAACTGCTAAGACAATGGTGAGTGAAACCAGGCGCATCATTTTGCGATATCCTTACTAAAACTTTAAAACAATAATCAACAATCAACATATTGTAGAACAAATTGTTATGCATATATTTCAGCTGCAGGACTGTTAAGTGGGGAAAATTGAAATACATATGAAGTTAAATTTGTCACTGCTTTTGAAATGTCAAACATGTGTTTAAAATTATTTAGTTATGGCTTAAGAACATTATGTTAGATGTTTAACAACTGAAGAAAATAGTGTTAAATGTACATTACTGTGTCGTAAATGTAGCAAATTGTAAACAAAGTAATATTTTGACTTGCATGCAAAATACAAAATCACAATAACTTTATGAAGTTCCAAAGAGTAAAAGGAGCCAAAGATAGTTCATATGGCCAATGAATACTTGTTTGGAGACTGTAATAACATATCCAAAATAAAACGTTTTTGAAACGTAAATTTTTTTATATCATTCAAGGACTTAATGGGTCTTAAAGTCGAAATGCTTCTAGCATTTCTCCATCAAACTTGAAAGTTCATCAATAATAACAGTGATATCTGATTTTCTTTAAAATACCCTATTCTTATATGCAGATATATATTTAGGGATAGGGAATTTTATAGATAATCGGGTTTCAAAATACTGTGCTTTTATAGACCTGATCGGTTCTAAAATTCTAAATATGAACTATTATTTACATAATATGTAACAATATTTTCACTTCGAAACATAAAATTAGTTTCAAACTTTACATGTTTACATCATAACCCAAGGTACGAACAAATCGGACACACCCGCGTAATGTTAAATATATTGTAACGTCAATGAATTAGGACTAAAAAGGCGAATGTTTTTGAAAAGCTTCTTATTTTTATTACTATGTTTCTGCTGTTCTGAAAGGTTATTTTTTTATTTCATTTCTTTTTTAAGACTCGTTGCAATAAGTACAGTTGAACTGATTTAGAATTTTGTATGGAAGTCAAATTACTATTGCGTCTACGTTCTTCTTCAGGTGTTAAACATCTTAGATTCTACATTATTATTGCTATAACATTTACAATTATTTGCCTTTTCAACAGAAAGAAATATGTATTCAGAGAAGCTCGTCGTTGGATTGCAAAATTTAAAATTTAAAACTCGATCGTTTAATAAATTTTGTAAACGTCATTCATTCAAGTAAAAAACACTTATTTAAAAATAAATAAAGTTTCTATTTATTTAAACAGTTATCAGTCAACGCTGAACGGTAAATAAAATCAGAGTTAAACTAACAAAAGAAATCTAAAAAAATAAGATCAGTTTGAAGTGATTTGTCGGAACTGGAAGAAACAAATGTTAAAACAAGTGATAATAATAATTAATGCAAGCAATAACAAAAACATAAATGTACATACCTTATTACTTTGCTTCCTTCGTTGTTATTAGGAAATATTTCCTAAAATGTTGATTTTGTATATACACTTCCCAGCTATATAAAGGAAATAAAACGCTATTAGCACATGTAATCGCAGCTTTCATAAGGCTTTCATCTTCATTCCTTTTTAAGTAACAAAGGAGCAGTGAAACAACAGTTTGAAAAGAGAATGTTATCACTTTTATTATCATCATATTAACAAGCCGCAACAAACCAGTTTTCATTTGAAGTGTGATATTTGCGTTTTATCCGGGTTTTACATAAAAGATAAATGTATATGTTGTCACGAGTGATATAAAGAGTTGGAACCATAAGGACCGCTAAATTAAATCAAAATGAATTTTCCCCGACTGGCCGACGTGAGCATTATACATGATGAATATAGTAAATGAGCAACAAGAGAAAAAGTCAATTACAACTACGATGACGGACGTCAAATTCCTATCTGCAACTGAATCTTCAATAAGTTTCTTACAAAGTATCCCTGTTTTAGAACTTTACTTTTTTCAAAAATACATGCAAAGCTATATTACTGCAGTCCTTACAACAATTCCATGACATAATGACACTTTAAGCCACACAAAATGCAAAAACGGAATAAATGATTAAGTTCAATTTAGTTTGTCGCATTCTTGATGTTAAAAAGCAAAAGGGCAACAAAACTTTGCAAACATACGAAACAACATAAATAGGTCGAGATTTTTTTTGCATTTTCGCGGCAAAGTGCAACACCGCGATAATACAAAATAGAAAAAAACAACAACAAAAATACAACATGGCGTAATTTTTCAACCAAATGTTACCAGTTCAGCGCTTGAGAAATGGCAAAAGACTTTAACCACATTTTTGTTATAACTATAACTGCAGTCATTATCATGTGCAATATGTTGGTTGGTTGATTTTGGTCGGTTTGTTTGTTTGTTGGCTGGGTTTTTTTTTCACGCCAGTCTTACACTAATATTTTGTCATCCCAGCGTCTCTAGATAACTGATCAGAAAAGGGTAATTTATCCGCAAGTGACAGCTTACTTATCCTATATAATTTCTGAACTAATGATCAGAAACAAATGCCCAAAAGATTTCATATCCAAGGTCAATTGCTATGGACAAATTATTCTTCGTCCCAGGATCGAACTAGCCACCTCTGTATTACTTATTCATTCGATTATATCTCTATTGAGCTAGGTGAGTATTCATGTAAATACGTATGATTACAAAGAATGAATATTTTCAATTGTGTTATTTCAGAACATGAAACATCTTGCAGATACCTTTCAAGTGTGTAGGACACATGGTATTTATCGCACAGATTTGTTAGACTGTTGTTTATGTATAAATATATGAATGTACTTTGGAAAGAAAAACATGTTGTCGGTATCTGTTATGGTTGAATTTACGAAACATCAATCAGTTTTGTCCATAAAACTGACAGGAATGAAATTCTCAGGTTTGCATATTCTTTTATGTGAATAGTCTTAGTAATCTCAGGAAACAGTTGCTGTAACTTTTATTATTGTAGATGTAATTGTTTCTATTTGTTGTCTTTAGAAAAAAACAACATAATGTACGGGTATAATTAAACTGATATTACTATAGCTTAAAACACAATAAAGATGATTTGTTATGATTGAAGATTAATATATATGTCACGTCCATTTGGTTGACAAGCGTTCAGAAAATATTATATCCGATATTTATGCTTTTAACAATTTCAAAGGGATACGATTCATAATCAACTTCTTCTTCTCATCGAAAAAAATCCGGAAACAAAGTTTTCCTTCGGAAGCATTAATCACAACAACATTACAAGAGAATTGCAGACTCGGTTTGATTGAGTCTGTACATGAGGGATAATGAATAATGAATACGTGCAACATTACTCACGCAGTCGTAAATATCTTTCTCTAAAGCCAAGGACAGAAGGGTAATTTGACACAGACTTATTCATGAATGCCGTCTTCATATTTACCGACAAGAGCTGACAAGAGCTCTCCATTAAAACGTTGTTTTTTGTTGTTGTTTTTTTGTTTGTTTATTTTTGTGCAAGACCATATTGCATTACTCTTTTCATGTCAATTCATTTTCTGAAATTACGTAAATATTCTGAGCCGAAAAATAAACCAAAGAAAATAAAACCTTTCATTACAATTTTTAATCAATTTTTCACACATCTCAATCAAGCTTTTGAAATCTCCTTCAAAGCTCTCAAAAGCTAAATCTACAGGGCGACTGTAAAATGTCATTTCTAAGTTTTTTTCTTTGTATTTTAGCAATTCTTCATCTTTCTGGGCAAGAATACACACAAGTTATTTCTTTGATTATCTTATAGGGAATTCACATATAAGAAGCTACATAATATAAAGGTCAAAAATCTTAAGGCTCATTATTTTAAGGTTGTTTCTGTGCTAGTACTGGTGTTCAAAGTTGTAGTCTATATATTCATGAACAGATTATACAGGTTTTGCGGTATCTATAAAGCCTTGGATACGATAGATGTAATAAATGAAATATATGAAAGAAACCCGTTGTCCTATACCATGTGTATTGAAAAGTCTATGTGTGCAGCGCTATAGTAAAATCAGATATTAGATTATCTCCTCACATAATTACTTATTGCTGCGGAATAACAAATAGACAAGACAACAAATAATTATATCTATAATCATTAAAGTCCAATGAGTATTGTTACAACAAATGTCACCTTACATTATAAAGAGTATTTAACATAACAAAATTTGCAAACTGAGATTTTCATCTTGTCAGACAGGGACAAATCTGATTGATAAATAACATGAATCATATATACATACACAATAAGTAACTACTAGCTGATTCATCTTCAAAAGCACTTTTAGAAATACAACAGTAAGGTATATCAAATCTGGGCGATAAATATTACGAATAATACACACTTGAAAGGTATCTGCAAAATGTTTCCCATTTTAATATATCAAAATAGAAAATTCATTGTTGCTAACAAAAATTCCGGTGCATATTATATGTGTTAATCGTAAAATTCGGTCATATCTAACGCCCGACTGCGGATCGAATACTACATGATCAAGGAGTACTACATGATAATTTTTGTTTTCGATTTTCGTATTGACCGTGCATTTCATACTATGTTTTTCACGTATTTGCCGTTTCTGATAAAATAAAAAAATTTGCCTTCTCGTTTGAAGTGATATTTAATATATGTTTTGGGGGGAAAATATAAAAAGGGAGATAATTTAGCAAAAATACCTGTCAGGATCATCTGTCCTTTAGAAATGCATTAGTACTTTTATATGAATTAAGTTTAAAATGAATATTTTTGAAATTAGCTGTAACCAAAAGGTTAATCAGAGCGAAAACATCTTAGAGAAATAAGGGGAATAACTATATCTAGGATTATCTGCCCTTTGATATTGCATTATATGATCATAATAAACAAATAAACCACTTGTAAAGTAAATTCGGTAGTGTCTGAGAAAATAAATGAAATTACTTAAACCAAATTCTGAGAGCGACAATACCATAATACCTTTAATCTGTTATCAATCAGGGTTACAAATGAAAATAGGAAACAAAAGAAAAATAAAATACTTATCTATTGGGAATTTAGTATCAATTATCCTTTCTAGCCTAAAGATTACATTATATAGCAGCTCAAAACCTCGATATTTAGGTTCATAAAAGAAAACAAGTAAAACAAAGATGGCAATTACAATAAAAATAACTATGAGAATGTTAAAAAGTAATATAATACTACTTTAATCATGATTTTAACATGAATTTACATCTTGCGACATTTAACGGTAGTGTTGCGACATTTAAGGGAAATTCGTGCGACATTTAACGTTAACATTGCGACATTTAACGGCAAATGATTTTGCGACATTTAGCGGTGGTTGCGACATTTAGCGGCAGGTGCGACATTTAGCGGCCTAGCGACATTTAACGGCGCCACACCCAGGACTCGATCAAAATGTTCGTTTACCTAACCAAGGACTCAATCAAAGTGTACGTAGGCCTTTCCAAGGACTCAAAATGTCCGTAGGCCTTACCCAGGACTCGAGCAAATGCCCGTAAGCCTTACCCAAGATTCGATCGAAATGTCCGTTGCCCTTAACCAGGTCTCGATCAAAATGTCCATTGGCCTTAACCAGGACTCGATCATAATGTACGTAGACCTTCCCAAGAACTCTTGTCAAGATATTAAAATCAAAGGGACATTTTTAAAACAAAACTAGCAAAAACAAAATTAATGCCTTTATTTCAAATGTTTCTAACTAACAAATTCTGTGATGCATTCGAGATACAAACAACTGCTAGAAAAATAAGAAACAGTGAAACTTTGTGAAATATACCTTAACTTTAAACAATTTATTTAAATATCGTATCATTATTTTGTTAAAGTTAAAGTAAACATACACTGTAATAAAATATAAGCAGTGCCAGCTTTATTGGGGAAGGGAGAAGACCTTAGGTGCCTTAACTTTGTATTGTATATAAGACAAAACATGACAGTATTCTGAAAAGTTTAACCATTAACCCCCTTAATCTTAAATGGACTGGCCCATCTTTTAATCTGGACAAAACCATCCATCTTTTTACGGGATATTACTAGTATAATGTAATTCTGATTTTCAAAACTTACTGAATCTTTAGATTTTAGGCAATTATGTTCATTTATATCTTTTTTTGCCCCTGTGCTTATTCAAATGAAAGAATTTGTCTTTTCTACTTAATTTAAAACCTTCACCAAACGTTAATTAACAAGGTATATGGGTGGAAGAAACACTGCTTTTTTGAAGAATTTCAGTGAAATCGTCACTAACTGGGAATAAAGTTACCAAAGTATATGGATTTGAAAAACTTCTTTTTTGAAGTGTTGTTACAAAGTCTTGACTAATTGGGAATTAATCAACAAGGAATATGGGTGGGAGAAAGAACTGTTTTTTTTAAGTTCCAGTGAAATCGTCACTAACTGAGAAAAAAATATGGGTCGGAAAAAACGAATCTTGACTAATTGGGAATTAATCAACAAGGAATATGGATGGGGGAAGACTGCTTTTCTGAAGTGTTCTTGTGAAATCTTGACTAATTGGGAATTAATTAACAACGAATATGGATGGGGGATAAGTGTTACAGTGTACAGTGAAAATGTGTATTAACATTATTTACAAGTAAGGAAATGAGTTTTTCACAGTCAATAACATTGGTAATTTAAAAAGGCATTAATGGTGATATCACATGATAGGTATATATACAGTATTAGGAGATAGTAGCATACTCTCAGACAGTCAAGAAATTATTAATTACAAAAGACAAGGTACTAAGACAGAAACAAAATATATAGGTAACTGACCATCCGGTTATCACAACTGACCATCTGGTTATTTTACAGATAACTAACCAATCAGTTATCTTGCACACTACTGACCATCTGGTTATCTTTAAATCCAGTTATCTCACAGATCACTGACCATCTGATTATTTTACAGATAGCTGACCATCCAGTTATCTTAGGGCTTACTGACCAACTGGTTATCTGTAAATCTGGTTATCTTACATATAACTGACCATTCGATTATCTTACAGATAAATGACCATCCAGTTATCTTACAGATAACAAACTGTCCGGTTATTTAACAGATAATAGACTGTCCCGTTATTTAACAGATAACCAACTGTCCGGTTATTTAACAGATAATAGACTGTCCGGTTATTTAACAGATAACCAACTGTCCGGTTATTTAACAGATAACCTACTGTCTTTCTTACAGATAACTGACCATTCGGTTACCTTTTATTAAAGTAGCCTACTCTTTTTATCATTGGAGTATAACTTAATTTCCTTTTCTTTTCATATTTGTAAAGTTATTTTGGAAAATATAGATTGATAAAATTATTCATTATCTCACTAGTTACCATGAAGGTTCTTGTACCAGATTTTAACTTAGTGCAAACAAAAATGTGTTGGGTAAAAATACTGTCTATGAGATGTATACTAGTATGCCAAAGTTTAACAACATAGGCAAACAAAAATTTGAGTGGATAATTTACATCAAATACACATTTGAACAGAATTTCTTATCAATTTCACTCACCATGAGGGATATTTAATCTAAATGTGCCAAATTTTTACAACATTGGCAAACAAAAAAGTGAAAGAGAAAAAAATTACATCAAATTACACAAATGATAAAAAAATTTCAACATTTTTTTTCTCTGCCCTATTTTTTTTATTAATATAGTACATGCCACATGAATAAAACAACTTGATAATGATGATGAATTGTATTTGAGGAAGCAATCTGTGAGCATGGATAAATTTGTAAATCTTGAAATTGAATTGAATTGAAATCATGAAAGACCTCTGTCACTATGAATATGGTAACATTTCAGATCTGACAGAAAAAATGAGCTGTGAAAACTGATAAAGAACTAATGAAAAACATTATTTGGCCTCTAGAAAATATACAACAATTATTCCTTTAAATTATGAAGAAAAGAATATATACACAAAAATTATGAGTTGATAATAAACTATCATTTTTCCAATGTATCAAATTTCCATTGTGAAATTATCTCCGCCTTTTTTCCAATTTATTAAAATGCTCATTATGTTGAAATTATCTCCCCTTTTTAAGTTTTTTTTTTTCTTTGGATAAATGTTAGAAGCCAATTTGACTGTGTTTTTCTTATCAATTTTGATTATTTAAAGGGACTCCACTGAGGTTTAAAAGCCTAAAAACATAACATTTGAATTTCTTACATAAATGAGCTGGGGCACTTTAAATAGAAATATATGCAAAGAGAGTTAGGATGTACTTTGAAATATATTGAAAAATCTATTTTTATGCTTTTCTTAGCCCGATTTGAGTGAAAAGCGTTTAAACGCTTTTCATTTTGGGTCATTTTTTACATTTTGAATAATAATTCTGGAAAAACGAAGTGCGCGAATGATCTGAAATTTTGCATAAAGATTAGTGGTCTAAACCAACATCAAAAGGTACGTTTATCTGGAAAAAATATTTTCAGTTCCATCATGTCAAAAAACCTCAGTCGAGTCCCTTTAAAGTATTTTCAACTTTTTTTCCTATCAATTTCCAGATTATCCAATTAATTCATTAAATACTACTGATCACTGCATTATCATTAGTTGCCATGGCAACATTTTTAAAAAAAATCTTGTTGCAGACTTATTTACATTTCACACTTTCTGCTATAACCAACAAACAAGAGGGCCATGATGGCCCTAGATCGCTCACCTGATTTATCAAACTCATCCAAACAATTACCTAGACAAGCATTCTGACCAAGTCTCATGACAGGTGAGTCAAAAATGTGACCACTACAGTGTTAACAAGGATTATCCATATTTGAGCAGTGCGACCTAGTTTTTTACCCAGGTGACACATATTCAAACTTGACCTAGAAATCATCAAAACAAACTTTTAGACCAATTTCAAGGATACTTGGATCAAAACAGTAGCAACTAGAGTGTTAACAAGATTTTTCTATTTTTAGCTCCGGTGACCTAGTTCCACATGCGATTTCGAACTCATCCAAGCAATTACCTATACAAGCATCCTGACCAAGTTTGATGATAACTGAGTCGAAAATGTGACCACTAGAATGTTAACAAGGTTTTTCCATATTTGGGCGGTGTGACCTAGTTTTTTTCATCCAAGATGACCAATGTACGAACTTGACTTAGAAATCATCAAAACAAACTTTCAGACCAATTAACAGAATATTTGGATCACAACAGTAGCCACTAGGGTGTTAACAAGATTTTTCTATTTTTAGCTCCAGTGACCTACTTTTTCATCCGAGATGACCATGTTCAATTTCTTCCCAGCAATGACCTAGACAAGTTTCCTGACCAAGTTTGATGACAATTGAGTCAAAATTGTGACCACTAGAGTGTTAACAAGGTTTTTCTATTTTTAGCTCCTGTGACCTAGTTTTTCATCCGAGATGACCCATGTTCGAACTCATCCGAGCTATCACCTAGACAAGCATCTTGATCAAGTTTGATGATGATTGATGCAAAAATGTGACCACTAGAGTGTTAACAAGGTTTTTCTATTTTTAGCTCCGGTGACCTACTTTTTCATCCGAGATGACCCATGTTCCCACTCATCTGAGCTATCAACTAGATAAGCATCCTTACCAAGTTTGATGACAACTGATTCAAAATGTGACCCCTAGAGTGTTAACAAGGTTTTTCTATTTTTAGCTCCGGTGACCTACTTTTTCATCCGAGATGACCCATGTTCGAACTCATCCGAGCTATCACCTAGACAAGCATCTTGACCAAGTTTGATGATGATTGATGCAAAAATGTGACCGCTAGAGTGTTAACAAGGTTTTTCTATTTTTAGCTCCGGTGACCTACTTTTTCATCCGAGATGACCCATGTTCGAACTCATCCGAGCTATCAACTAGATAAGCATCCTGACCAAGTTTTGATGATGATTGATGCAAAAATGTGACCGCTAGAGTGTTAACAAGGTTTTTTCTATTTTTAGCTCCGGGTGACCTACTTTTTCATCCGAGATGACCCATGTTCGAACTCATCCGAGCTATCACCTAGACAAGCATCTTGACCAAGTTTGATGATGATTGATGCAAAAATGTGACCGCTAAGTGTTAAAACAAGGTTTTTCTATTTTTAGCTTCCGGTGACCTACTTTTTCATCCGAGATGACCCATGTTCGAACTCATCCCAGCTATCACCTAGACAAACATCCTGACCAAGTTTGATGATGATTGAGGCAAAAATGTGACCTCTAGAGTGTTAACAAGGTTTTTCTATTTTTAGCTCTTGTGACCTAGTTTCTCATCCGAGATGACCCATGTTCGAACTCATCCGAGCTATCAACTAGATAAGCATCCTGACCAAGTTTGATGATGATTGAGGCAAAAATGTGACCGCTAGAGTGTTAACAACTAAAATGTGAACGGACGACGGACGGACGGACGACGGACGACGGACGACGGACAATCATCGATCCTAAAAGCTCACCCTGAGCATGCTCAGGTGAGCTAAAAACAAACAAATTTTGGACATAATTCTGCTTAAAAAATAACACATCTTAAAATCCTGACAATATGTGCCAGGACACTTGATGACAATGATTTGGTGAAAGATTAAATGTAATCTCTTGAATAATGTCAAACTTACGCAAAGGAGAAATTGTTTATTCTAGGTCACCCTATTAGTCTGCATGCTGGCATTCACCAGTCTTTTTACTACCCAGAGATTTCTTTTGGAAAACCTGATCCATCAGCACTAAACAATCTGTATAATATAAACTTCTAGAATATCTAACACCAATATAAATATACAGCTATAACAAACAAAAACTAAAATGGCCAGTAGCCAACATTCTGAGTGTGTGTGTTTTTTTTTTTTTAAAAGAAAGAAAAAACTTAACACACTTATTCAAATATTTACACAATAAAGTAGATATTAAATACATACTTAAGTTAAAACAATTCGTTCTAAGTCCAATATGAAGACCCTAAACAATTGACTGAAACATTTCATTTTCCAATTTAAATATGCTGATAAATCAATAAATATACAAAAAATTTCATTAGTTTTACTTTAAGCATTAATATTTGGATCAAAAAGCAAGTAAAAATTTAATAACCAATATCGTATATACTTAGGAACAAACCTATTTTACTTGTTAAATTTCCCCTTAGTGCATTAATGAGTTTAACCAAAAATTTTATGATTGTATTGAGTTAAGGGGGGTTATCCACTAAAGGTGACAAAAAAAAAAAAAAATTATTACATGGGTAGTAGCAATTTTTAAAAAGGCCAAATTTAATTATTTATGCCTGTTATATGGCACAAAAAAAAAATATTTTATATTTCGAGAATTCCAAAACTATTATCAAGGATTGACTTTTAAAAAAAGGGGAAAGGTAAAAATAAAAGGATATGGAAATTTTATAGGGGGGAAAATTTGGTTTTTTATTATTTAAAACCTTTTTGTTTTTTAATTTTTAATTGTTCCCCCTTTTTTTTTAAAATTTAATTAGAGTTTTGGGGGCAACCAATTTTTTTTCTTTTTTAAACCCGGTTTTAAGGGTCCTTTTTTTAGCCCGTTAAAAATCCAAAATTTTTTTCCCCGGTTTTTTTTAATTTTTAAAATTAATTTTTTCCGAATGAATTTTTAAAACATTCCTTATCCCGCCAAAAATGAAACCAAAATTGGTTTCCCATTTCCTTTTGTAAAAAAGGGAAAAAAGGTTTTTTTTTTTTTGAAAAAATTTTTAAAGATTTTAAAATTTTAAGTTTGGGGTTTTTAAACCCAATTTTAAACAGTTATTAGGTCCCGGGTTTTTTTTAAAATTTTAACAGTTTTTTCTTTTAAAAAAGGGGAAACGGAATAAAAATTTTTCAAAAATTTTAATTTTTTTTATTAGAAAAAGGGGGCCGTTTTTTCCCCTTGTTTTAAAACAACCTTTAATTTTTTCCTTTTTTTGCCGCCTTTTGGGTATCTTTATTGTGTTATTATTGTTTGGGAAAATTTTTACGGAAAAAGAAAATTTTTTTTTTTAATTTTTTCCCAAAATTTTTCAATAATACTTAAAATTACAATTTGCCTTTTTATTTTTATTTTAGCTTAATTAAAATTCCAAAACCATTTGGCCAAAAAGGGCTTTTTAATCTTGGGGGGCAGGATGCCGTTTTTTCCTTTTATGGTTTTTTTTTTGGAAAACCCAGCTCAAAAGTAGAAAAAGGAAAGGGAATCAATATGGCAGTGTTTACATATATATAAATCTTACAAAAACACTCATATTTTGTCAATTTTTTTATGTATATTAACAATGGTTTGTAAATAGCAGTAAGTATTATTTTCATCAACAGTAATTTTGTTGTTTATAAACAAGCTATGGTTACCAATACAGGTAATAAATAAACACCAATTATTCAATGCAGGAGTTTATAAACAGTGTATAGAAACACCAAAAGATAACACCCCCCCCCTCCCGCCAAAAAAAAAAAAAAAAAAAAAAAAAAACACAAAAGGTTAAATAAACCTACTAAATGATCAAGGATTTCCTTATTTGACAATCCAGATATCATAATAATTTAATATTTCAATTATCAACAAAGGTAAGTAATCAGGAAATCATAATTAAGTACACTTAAGTTTCATGATTCCATATTTAGTATGTGATATGTACTGTATCATTAACTACATTACGTTTTTTTCTACAAAAATAAAACTAGTAAAGAGGTTAGCTATTGCTTTGAAGATAAAGGTACATACAAGTTCAATACAGAAATAAAAAACATCCATTTTAGTGTATAATTTGTTTCCCCATCATTTACTTAAAGCTAGGATATAATTTTTAACGCGGCTCTATTTCAAGCAAGACTAGATAGTTTTGGGATACATAATACCTGAATGTACAACCAAGGTTTCAGATCACTAGCCTATTCCTTTAAATTGCAGTTTAGAATACTAAATTATGTACTAAATATGGTTGTATACCACATACAAAAAACTATCCACGTTAAATTATTCAGCCAATGTTGAACACCAATGTTAAACTTAAATGACCATCAGGGTGTTCAATTTAAATCATTCAGTGTAATTTAACATTATGGTGTGACACTTAAGTCTGAATTAAATTATCGATAACACTGTATTACTCTGAAAACTGTGAAGAAACGGTGGAAATGTACATTCCAAATGTGTTCCATTTGAGTATAATTGGGTCGAAAAGGGATGGAAAAAAGGAAAAGGACAGTTATAAAATATTTGGGCCCTTTGACATCAAAAATTTTTTAAATTTAACTAAAGAATTAATCTCCACGGTTTTTTTTAGATATAAAATTGTCAAAAATTTTCTTAAAACAGGAAAAAAAGGGGGGAAAAAACCATTCCCCTATCCAAACAAATTTCCCCAAAATTTTATTTTTTTCTTTTTTACCCTTTTTTATTTTAAACCTTTTTTAATGTAGAAAAAGGGGAGAAAAAATCATTTACTATCCCAAAACAAAAAACCCAAAATTTTCCCCTATATACCTTTTTTTATTTTACCTATTTAATGTAGAATTAATTAAACAATTCAATTTTGTCTCTGGCAGTGTACTTTAAATACAAATAATGTATTTTTGGTTTAAGGCAGCATGCCTCCAGATTCATGCAAATTTTCATGAAATTTTTGAAATTTTATTAATCTATTTAAAAGAAATGTATTGTGAAATGAACAAAGATATAAATTTACACATTGCAAAGGGCGCTTAAAATCTACGTAAATTACCAAAAGGAGGTCAAAAAATGCAAAATTAGCACTAACTTAAGGCTAAATGGTGATAAATACTTCAAAATCATAGAAATATGGTGATTACATACTGCATAATAAGTTATCATTCACACATAACATATTAATTATTACCTGAATCTTTAATCTTTTTACTTTTCCCAAAATTGAGTGTATTTTTCTCAAGTTCTATTTTCTTGAAACATTTTTACTTATCTGGAGGCATGCAGCTTTAACTTGATACAATTTTCAGGAATTTCTATGAAATTCCTTGTCAACTAATTTCTGTAACATGATTGGACAGTTTTCAAAAATCTAACTTTTTAATATTTTATAATTTTAAAATGCAAAATTCAAATTTTCCCAAAAAAAAAACCCCCCCCTTTTTTTTTGTCTATTTTTTTTATTTTTTAAAAGGTTCTACTTATTCAAACTTACCTGGGTTTACTTAAATTTTAAAAAATTTTGATGTTAAAAACAAACAAAACTATTTTCTAGTTTACACCCATTTTAAACTGTTTGGGGAAAGAAATCCCCTTTTTTTTTTTTTAGGGTCTCTTTTTTAAAAGGGGGTCTTTAAAAAACAGTTTAAACCCTTTCCCCGTGCTTAAATTAAACCTTAAAAGGATTTTACTATAAAAAAACCCGGGAAAATAAAGAAATAACAATTCCCCTAGAATTTTAATTTTAAAATTAAAATTTTATTCCCCAGCCCAAAAATAAGTTAAAAAATTGGAAAAAAGAAGTGAATTTTTTAAAACTTTAAAACCCTTTCCTTTTTTAAAAATGTACAAATTTTTTTTTATCATTTTAAAATTCTTTCTACCAAAAAAAAATCTGAAAAAAAAAATTGTTAAAAGGGGGCTTTTAGGGGCAAACAGAAATTACAAAAAATCTAGGTCAAAAAATTTGCCCCCGCCCCGAAAAAATAAAAATTTGTTAGCTCTCACTAACAAAAGAAAATCCGTAAAATTTTTTAAGACAAAAAAATAAAGCCCATAAAATTTTTGTAATATCTAAATCCGGATATTAAATTTTATTTATAAATAAATCTAAAAAAAAAATTTTTGTGTAAAAATCCCAGGGCAGAAATTTGGACCTGGTTTTTTGAACTCTCTTTTTGGTGTTTCCAGAGTTTTTTTTCCCCCTGAAAATTTGAAAAAAAAAACATTCTTGTTAACTTCTTGGACTTTATAGGTGCTTATTCATGGGCCAGGACTAAAAATTTAGAATTTGAAATTTAAGACTTTATGAGGCTAAACAGACTGGTTGAGAAATACCTCAAGTGCACCTTCATGCTTATTACACTGCCACTCTGTTATAATGTGCCCCGTTATAATCTTAACCCCAGTATAATGCATTGGCTCCCAAAATAATATCATATTTCATCAAGGATCATAATTTTAAAATAAAATGTAATTCTGTATCAATTTTATCTTCACAAACTGTACAGTTTTGAATTGTACCATTTATATGCATGCTTACGAAATTGAAATTATTCTATTAAATTCTTAAAACACCAAAAATCAATTGCTAAAGCTTACAGATAAGTTCATTCAAACATGCCAATAAAGTAAGAAAGAATATACTGCAAAATTATTATTATTTGTGGGGAACTCATTTTCGTGGTTTTCCCTGATATGTAAATCTAAAAAATTAAAATCCAACTTTTGTCTGCTATGAGATTATTATGCATCACATTATTTTCATTTTAATCATTTCAAAAAATTAACAGTCTATGAATTTAAGAACCCACGAAAATGTTAATTGAGACAAAAACCACGAAAAGTCATGGCCACTTACAATAACCATTCATTAGTTAATGTGGGTGTGAATTATTTAGAAACTTACCAAATCCCGACGTATTCTCGTTTCTCGATCGAATGAACGTACTAGACATAGATGGAGCAAAGGACATATGAGCTAAAATAATGGCGAGACAGTCGGCTACACGATCATTCGGAGCACAGGACAGAGCCGGAGAATAGCCTGAGATAGAAAAAAATAAATAAAAGATTAAGAATATAAAATCATGACCAGATAAGTGTAGATATATAGAAAAATCAGCAAGCTTTTCATAACCATTAACATGCTAAGTTTTGTATAATAAAAAATTGTCTGGTTGTGTCTTCAGAAGTCTACATTGGTAATAGGACTGGAATTTGACATCAAAATGCTGACATAAGGAACCATAGTCTAGCAGTTAAGATGTCTGACTTTAGTTTATACAAAATACATTTTAGTTTGATTGTGAAGGAAGCTATAAGCATTTCTAGAACGAAACCGAACCAGTACTGAGATATATGTATTTTCTTGCTCAAGGAAACAACAGCTTTCTCCTGATGACGTCTGAACCCAGGCGGCTAGCAAATATTTATATTACTTTTTTGACATATTAACCACTAGGCCATGCAGCCACTTATATATGCCTTTTCGAACCAAGGGATCATGGGTTTGTGCCCTTTTCTGCGTCATGCCTATGTTCCCTCATATGAAGCTAGCACTGATTAGTTTCAGTAGCCTTAGACTTTAACATTTATGATTTATTCCAAACAGTAAGCCTTTGCTTCTTAATCAGGAGTGAGTTAATAAACATAAGACTGAGCAGCCTAGCCCTATACTGTTGGCATAGGCATCTTATCACTGCAGCTAGCATTCAAAAGGTTAAATAACATTAAAAAAATGCTCCTAAAATAACAGAATAACCAACAGTTTGATTAAGATCATGCAATCAGAGAGTGAGACAAGAAATTCAAGCATGTTTTTTCGATAGGTTCATGCATGACTGACTATTAAATGTAATCCAAAATGATTCCATAATCAGAAGTGAGAGACAAATGACCACGAGACTTAATGTCCGAGATCTATTGTCATGGAAAACTTTCTCTTTTTGGTGGATCACTCAAACAACCCCTAGATTACAGATCCGATGCTCTCCCTATTTAACTATGTGGGCAGACACTTATTCTGGTATCTTAAACGAAAGACTAGTGATCATTATCTCTGTATAAGAGTTTATACAAAATATATTTCAGTTTCCTTGTGTAGAAAGCTATAAGCTTATAGACAGACTCTTGAATCTGTTCCTGGAACCAACCAATACTTAGCAATGAGTGAAAAGTTTCTTGCTTAAGGAAACAATGGCTTGCCCTGGTTAGGGTTTTAGCCCACATGGCTAGACAAATTTTGTCTGACATGTCAACAACTTGTCCATGCTGGCACATATTGAGCATACCTACAGCTTACCAATTTATTCTTAAGAAGTACATGTGACTGGAATATTTTACTAAAGGTAATTAAAAAATTATGTTTGATTGTGTTGGTAGTTTTCACCCCGGATCACAGCAGTAAGCCACATTGATTAACCAGAGCACTGTTCAGCCACTGCATCTTGTCAAGCAGTTTACCAGTACTAGTTGCCTTCACTTTTGCAAGGAACTGATAACATCTGTACATGCCAGAGCAGAGGTACTGTGTGAATGACCATAGAAAGGATTTAGGATCAAGCACAACGGAAGTGACTTGCATATCGCAGGAGTCCAACACTCTACCTATTGAGCTAATCGGACCATACTAAACTTACGTATTATGTGAGATTTTTCATATATAGGGGGAAGTCAATACAACAAGTGGGTAAATTGAAGTTACCTTTATTATCTACAGCTGTCAGACTGGCTCCTTTAGCAATTAAATCTTGTACTACAGGTGTTAATCCTTGTTTAGCTGCTATATGAAGGGCACTGAAAACCAACAAAATAAATAACATGTAAAATTAATCATTATAATACTGCACGTTTGTAACTTCACTTTTCATTGGATAATCATGATGTTTATATGTTTTTTGATACTGCATGTTTGTAACTTCACTTTTCATTGGATAATCATGATGTTTACATAGTTTTATATACACAGCTGCTGTCAATTTATGAAGCAATCTCAATTTTCTTTCTCTAAAAAAAGAGTTGCTTGCTGTTTTATAAATTTGTTACAAATATTTTTGACAGGCTGTATATAATTGGTTGTTTGCAAAATAACCCTCTACTAGACGAGGGTTATATTCCAAACAACCAGTTATATACAGCCTTTTGTCTAGGGACTTGGGTTATATTTCCAAACAACTGTTTATATAGGGCCATTATTTCAGGCAGAGGCCAAAATATGCAAAAATAGCCCTTACTGCGTTTGTAACGCAGTAGTAAAAACGCAGTAGTAACCTGGTGATATATACTCCAAAACCAGTCATTAATCGCACATAACATGTAAATTATTACTTAAATCTTAGATCTTCTTGCTTTTCTTAAAACTATAGTACATTTTTCTCAAGTTCGATTTTTTATCAATATTTTGGCACATCTGGAGGCATGCAGCTTCAAGAGAGAAAACACTACTGAAACTACTTACGTTTTCATATCCTGATTAGCTTTATTTATTACATTTTGGTCATCTATCTTATCTAGAATTAACAGTGCAAGATCTTCATGGTCCTGAAATATATTTGTTGTATATAAATACTGGTTTTAAGTAAACAAGAGCCACCGCCGGGCGGGGGCAACGCTCGACTTTTTACTTTTTCTAAACGCAAACATAGAAAGGTTTGAACATATATATTGATGTTTCCTTTTTATAAATTTAGTTGGTCTGTTTTGTCACATTAGTTTTGTTTATATATTTTGTATATATATGAATAGAAACATTAAGCATATTTCTAAAAATAGCAACAGTACGCAATTTCTAAAAATAGCAACAATGACGCAATTTCTAAAAATAGCAACAATGACGCAATTTCTAAAAATAGAAAAAATGACGCAATTTCTAAAAATAGAAAAAAATGACGCAATTTCTAAAAATAGAAACAATGACGCAATTTCTAAAAATAGAGAAAAAAAATGACGCAATTTCTAAAAATAGCAACAATGACGCAATTTCTAAAAATAGAAAAAAAATGACGCAATTACTAAAAATAGAAACAATGACGCAATTTCTAAAAATAGAAAAAATGACGCAATTTCTAAAAATAGAAAAAAATGACGCAATTTCTAAAAATAGAAACAATGACGCAATTTCTAAAAATAGAAAAAAAAAATGACGCAATTTCTAAAAATAGCAACAATGACGCAATTTCTTAAAATAGAAAAAGAATTTCTAAAAATAGAAAAAAATGACGCAATTACTAAAAATAGCAACAATGACGCAATTTCTAAAAATAGGAAAAATGACGCAATTTCTAAAAATAGGAAAAAATGACGCAAATTCTAAAAATAGCAACAATGACGCAATTTCTAAAAATAGAAAAACATGACGCAATTTCTAAAAATAGAAAAAATGACGCAATTTCTAAAAATAGAAAAACATGACGCAATTTCTAAAAATAGAAAAAAAATGAAGCAATTTCTAAAAATAGAAAAAAAATGAAGCAATTTCTAAAAATAAAAAAAATGACGCAATTTCTAAAAATAAAAAAAATGACGCAATTTCTAAAAATAGAAAAACATGACGCAATTTCTAAAAATAGCAACAATGATGCAATTTCTAAAAATAGAAAAAAAAATGACGCAAATTCTAAAAATAGCAAAAATGACGCAATTTCTAAAAATAGAAAAACATGACGCAATTTCTAAAAATAGAAAAAAAATGAAGCAATTTCTAAAAATAGAAAAAAATGACGCAATTTCTAAAAATAAAAAAAATGACGCAATTTCTAAAAATAGAAAAACATGACGCAATTTCTAAAAATAGAAACAATGACGCAATTTCTAAAAATAGAAACAATGACGCAATTTCTAAAAATAGAACAAAAATGACGCAATTTCTAAAAATAGAAAAACATGACGCATTTATATACATGTATATATATATATATATATATATATATATATATTTGATATATATATATATATCTATATATGTATATATATATATATATATACACATGCATATATATATATATTTATATATATATATATATTTATATATATATATATATATATATATATATATATATATATATATATACCTGCATATATGTATATATATACACACACACATTTATATATATATTTATATATAATACATTTACTATACATACACACACACCGATAAATGCACAATCTGAGAAAATTCAGTAATATAACCTTCAAGGTCAAGGTCATTAAAGAGCCCAAGCAAATTTGGGTTTGATAAACAACAAGGTCTGGTCCTTAAGAATGTTCTGTTATAATATGAAGTTTATCCCTTCAAAAATAGCAAAGTTACAGTCAGTTACTGCCAAAACAATGAAAATTTCAATAATTTGACCTTCAAAGGCAATGTCATTAATGAGTGAAGGTCAAGGTCTTTCGGTATATTTTTAACAGTTATATTTGAAGATTATTATGTTCAAGTTTGAAGACAATTCATTCAAAAACAAGAGCTGTCCGTAAGACAGCGCGCTCGACTTTTTTATTGCTTGCCAATAAAAAAAGTTTTTGCAGTAAAAGGCAATACAAGAATCTCTGTATTTTTAAAGTGAACTAGTTGTTTGATACCCTTGAATATTACAGCAATGTTTATATGACATAATTTATGGTAAAGTGAACAAGTGGATAGGAATGAATTTTTTTAGATTTTTTAAGTTTTTTAGTGCTTGCCTATAATACAAAACATTGACAGTTAAGGGCCATAATTCAAATAAAATCTTTGACAGAATTACCTTCTCCTGGACATGTTTGGGAATCATGATTGTAAACAAGTATTCCAACTTTCAAATTAATATCTCAAACAGTTCAGTCAAAAAGTGGACTGGTACTAAAAACTTAACCAAGATTCTAAGTCGATAAAAGGCCTTAATTTTTAAAACAAATCCTTGACAGAGTTACCTTCTCTTGCGTACAGATGGGGGTAATGATGTGAAATAGCATTAAAAGTTTCAAAGCAATATCTCAAAGGGTTAAGGCAATAAGTGGATTTTACCCATATTCAATGTATTTTCTAAGTCAAAAAGGGGCATAATTCTGTCAAAAACCTTGACAGAGTTATGTCCTCTTGTCTGTTGATGAAGGTCGTGATGGTAAACAAGTATGGTCAGTTTCAAAGCAATACCTCCAATGGTTTTGAAATAAAGTGAGGTGGTACAAAAAACTTAACCAAGCTCAATACACTTTCTAAGTCAAAAAAAGGGCCATAATTCTGTCAAAAACCTTGACAGAGTTATGTACTCTTGTCTGTAGATGGAGGTTATGATGGTGAACAAGTATGGTAAGTTTCAAAGCCATACTTGTAATACTTCTGAAATAAAGTGGGGTGGTACGAAAAACTTAACCAAGGTGTGAGGCCGACGCCGACGCCGACGCCGGGGCGAGTAGGATAGCTCCCCTTTTCATAGAAAAGTCGAGCTAATAACAAAGTTACAGCCAATAATAGCCAAAAAAATGAAAATTTCAATAATTTGACCTTCAAAGTCAAGGTCATTGATGAGTGAATGTCAAGGTCTGACTGGTTATTTTTAAGGGATATCCTTGAAGATTATTATGTTCAAGTTTGAAGACAATCCATTCAAAAATAACAAAGTAACAGCCAATAACAGCATGAACAAGCAAAAATTGGACTTTTAACCTTGAAGGTCAAGGTCATTTATGGATGAAGGTCAAGGTTAGTGTGGTCTACTGAAAGGTCTTGTCCCAAGGGTTGTTGTGGCCAAGTATGAAGACAATACACCAAGAAATAAAAAAGTTATGATCCAGGTACAAGTTTTCGGACGGCAACGGCAACGGCAACGGAGACGGCAACGCCGACCTGACTATAACAATACCTCTACTTTTTTTTTCAAAAAAAAAAAAGTCGAGCTAATAAATTAGATATCATACAACCATTCTGCACAAAAACACTCTAAATAACCATGATGAACTATCAATAAATTTTATAATATATGTAGAAGAACTCCACTGAGACGTCTTTCTTGATCAAATAAAAGGGAGACAAATCAATAATGAAGCTGATTTCATACTTACATTCATACATGCATAGTGTAAAGCTGTATTTTGGGACTCATCAGCAAGACTCAAATCTGCCTTGTTCTGTACTAACAATTCTGAAATGTATAATACGAGCAAATATTGTACTGCAAACAATGAGTACGAGGGATGATCCAAAATAATGTAAGATTTTTGCTATTGCTTATAAACAGGTTGTTTAAATTAAGTAAACCACATATTGAAATAAATCAGAACATTAAATTAATAAGATAAGATAGAAAAACAATATATTTTGTAAAAATTGCAAGCACACTAAGAGATTCTCACATTCTCTTCAAGTGACCTTGACCTACTTACCAAATGAGGCTAAATGATCCTGAGAAGCTGCTAAAATCGAATTATCTTCCAGTGACTTTGACTAACTTACCAACTAAAGCTAAATGACCTTGAAGATCTGCTAAAATCATTTCTCAAAATAAATTTACCTACTTCCCTCCCTGGGGCCCTTAAAATGCCCTTTGAGAAGCTGCTAACACCCACGGGTTTGTTCTACAAAGTTGTGGGTTGTATTAACTAAGGCTTTAATGTCAATAAAAAACTGTAGAGATTCAATTTGGGGCCCCGAAAAGTCCCTCCCAATGAACGGGGGCCCAAAAATATAAATTTTTTTCATTGTTAATAAAATTTAAAAACCGGTTTTCCTGTTTTAACCCTTTTTTTTAATTTATTAATCGAGCCAGCTAGTGGCAACTGACCTCATCTCAGGGAAAAACCATGCAAAACCTAACCCAGGCACATCATTGTCTGTCGGGCACTTTTTCGTCAGTATTTTTGTTTTTTTGTTTGGGGTTTAACGTCAAAACCAAAAACAGTAAAAGGTTTCTTTAATGGAAATTTTTTCCATTTTTACTGGTGGAGGAAGACCTCAGGTGTCTTTCCTTATATTATTTCTGGCACAAACGGGCACCTGAGTAGAACCACCGGCGTTCAGTAAGCTAGCTGGATAGCTTCCTCACATGAAAGAATCCAGTCCCTTTCAGGATTCGAACCCATAGCGATGAGGGACAAGTGGTTTGAAGTCAACAACCTTAACCACCCTGCCACAGATGCCCCTAGTCTATATGTCATTTAAATTTTTTCCCTAAGAAATAATGAATGTTTTTGTTCTAATGATAAGATAGATGAGTGCATTTAAGATTTTTAGTGTGGTAAGGTTAGAGATTGTACTTTTATAAATATGATACATTATTATAGGTAAAAGCGAACACTAGAGTAGAACTGCCAACATTGTGTAACCCTTTACCACATGAGCATATTGTGAAAAATGGCCGTTTTCAAATGAAATATGTATTTTGGGCCCAAATAGGACATTTTTTTCACTATTTGAAGCCTAAAATTGGGGGTGGGGGGGGGGGGGGGGGAGGGGTCCAAAGTGCGTTGTTTTGCGTATATATGAGGTAAAGGGGTAAGCTAGCTGGATAGCTTTCACACTGAAGTGATTCTAGAGGAGGAGAATCAAAAAGCTTTTCAAGGATTCAAACCTACATTTATTGGGCAATTAATCTGAAGTCAGCAAACTTAACCACTCAGCCACAGAGGCCGATTCTTAAATAATCGAGGTTTGTATGGAAATAATTTCACTACAAATGTTGTAAAAACTGTCATTACCTGCCCTTTGAGTCCTGGAGGTTAACTATGGTATCCCCTAAAATGTCCAGCAACAAATCTGTACAACTGTCATTACCATTTGACCTGTAATTAAGTTAAACACACATCAAATTACAACCAGCAAAGATAACTGTATTTGTCACTGGATTATATTTCCATAAACTCTTGCCAACAAAACAATGTAAATCTTAAGCTTATCACTTGGCCCTTTCACTGCCTACAAGATTGGTATATATACACGTCCCACTCAATGTATTATGGATTTGCCTACAAGACATATAAATTTCATCACCTTAGTGTAATAACAGGTAAACTCCTATTAAATAATAACAGGATTTAACCCGTTATTGCAATAAGGTGGCAACTTGTCCTTGTTAATATTTTTTCTGATTACTGATTGTTCTTTTATTTTTAGCTTGTCTGTTTAGAAGAGAAAGTCCAGCAGTTATGATCACTGCGACATCATTGTTGTCATCGTTGTTGACATCATACAAAAACTTCAATGTAGCCCATTTATTAACATTTTAAACATAAAACTTGGAATGCTTGCATATCATGACAAGGTGCAGTTCTACGACAAGGGACATAATTCTGAAAGCAATATATTTGGAGTTACACTCCATTTTAACTACGAATTTAAAAACAGATTGTTAACACCACTTTGGTGCTCTTGTTATCATTACTATAAGCATACACAACTGAATATAATGTTGAGAATTTTTTATATACTTACACAGCACAATGTAAAGGTGAGAAAGAGTTCCCTGAGAATTGCCGATGTTCTTCGTTCTCCAATAACAGGTCCACACACGCCTCATGACCTAAAAATAAAATTGAGGAAATAATTTAATGGTCTACTTTCTTAATCTTTATAGTGTAAACTGCGATAATGAAAGGCCTCTGCAAACAGGATGAAAATATACCAGCATCTTTGCATATCCATGGACCTGACAGGGCCGCATATCTGTAACAGGGTGAAAATGGAAAAAGTCTATTACAAAGATTCAGTAAGATATGTGTTATTACATGTATGTTTGATTTCAGCAAAGTTTTACCATCAATTTTAGAATGTTAATGTACATATCATGACATACAATATTAATTATACTGTTTTTTTTAGTTTGTTCAGTTTTCAATTTTAACAATATTTGGTTATATCTTGGTGATCCTATCCACCAAACTAGCTTCCCTGAAAAACTAACAAGTAATATTAAACCGATTTCTCCATAAGGAAGCTTCTACTAATCTCACATTATTTCTGAATGAGCAGTGAGAGACAAATGTCCATTACACTGAATGTACGAGTCAGGATCAAACAAGCCACCTCTGGATGACAAATCTGACGCTCACCCTATTTAGCCAAGCCTGCCAACAACAAGGAGTGAAAATGGAAGAACTTTTTGCAGGGGTTTAGAGGGCCATGTAGGCCCCTTGCAGGTCCAGGACAATGCTCTTTTGGGGGCCCCCTTCAGCTCCTGAGATACATGCATGTATCACCAGAGCAAAAACTTCCGGGAAGCGTCTAATACCTTTATTGAAACTAAGACCAGAATGGATGTCTTTATTGCATTTACACTGAATTTTTGCAGAATGGTCTCTGGCACATAAAAATTAAGGAATTCTGCGGAATATTGGCAGCACTTTGAGCTAAGCTGACAGACACATTGAATATACCATCAATTTTTTTTATGTATCAGGTAGTGATTAAAATGAAGTAAGATAAAAAGTTACCATTATAACAGGCAAAATGAAGAGGTGTATAGCCTTGTCTATCATGAAGTTTCTCTAATGGTCCCATCTGAAAAAATAGACAAAACAAAACTGTATCCTTTCATGTTTCTTTTACAAATATAATCTAAAATGTTGTTTAAAAAACCCCCGCAACAACAACAACAATAAATATATCTACTTTGAACTTTTAAATCAATTGAAAAAATAGAAAGATTTAATCAGAATAAATAACAATTTCAAATTAACAATAGTACAGTACAAAACTTTTAATATAAAGAACTAAATTTAAGTGGTTCAAATTCACAATTTTAAAGAAAAAATAGCTAACCACGCCTACCACAATTTATCACATGTCATGGAAGATTGAGAAACCAAATGTGTAGCCTCGATAAATAAAGTCTTTACTTACATTTGCTTACTTAGCTAAGTTAAAGTAGGCCTTTGAAAAATATATTCACTAATTGCTTAAAAATGGTAGACATACATAAATTTCCAGGGGCAAAAAATTGGCAAAAACAATCCCTATATAATGTGTATAAATGTAAAGTATTACATACCAATAACATTGATCCTAGAAGCCCTACATGTCCGCACAGAGAGGATAAATGTAGTGCTGTACGACCTTTATGATCCTGTATTGATATATCAGCACCATTATGTAACAAGGCATCCACACATTCTTCATGACCATTAGCAGCCTATAAATAGTAACACTGACATGAGACAAGTGTCACATGACCAACAGCAGTCTATAAATAGATTGACAGACATGAATGTTTGTTTCATGGCCTTTAGCAGGCTATAAATAGATATACTGACATGAACATTTGTCACATGACCATTAGCAGTCTATGAATATACTTCAAGACATAAATTTATATAATTTTCATGAATGTTTGCCATGTGATCATAAGCAGCCTATAAATAGATTGAATGGCATAAAAGTTTGTCGTACAACTTTTGGCAGGCTAAAAATAGATTTACTGACACAAACACCTATTACATGACCATTAACAGTCTATAAGAAGATTTACTGACATGAACATTTGTCAAACGACCATTAGCAGGCTAAAAAAAAGATTTACTGACTTGAATCTTTGTCACATGACCATAAACAACCTATAAATAGATTTATTGACTTAAACATTGATCATATCACCAAAAGGCAGTCTATAAAAAGATTCACTGACACAAATGTTTGTCACGTGGCCATTTCAACCTATAAATGGATAAACTGACATGGACATGAAAATAAGATGGAATACTAGTACTACTATGTATGGTTAATATTTCAAATTCAGACGGTCATCTTGCGGATATATAAACATTAATCTATTGGCCATTAGTATCCATGTAATAAATAAAGGTTATAAATAAGATGTCAATTAAGCAGTTACTTACCCCTCTATGAAGAGCTGTACGACCCTGAATATCACGAGCATTTACTATGGCACCATTTGCTATCAGATATAGAACTGTGTCCACATGGCCATTCTCAATGGCTAACATGAGAGGTGTTCTGTAAGAAAAACACAAACGTGTGATTCACAAATGTTCAATATTTTTCAGTTAATAAAATTAAGTTGATACGTCTTCATTTTATATTGGAATTAACCGATCCTAGTGAAATGTCTCAGTGGGTCAAAACTGGTTGACCTTATTATAAAATGATATCAAAATACCATAGTATTTAACATGTTGATCTCCCCTTCTATAATCTTGTTAATACTTTGTTTTTGCTATCAAATATTAAAGTTTGGCTGGCCTGGCTCTGTCCTTGTTTTAGTTTGTTAAAATGATTTCACATTACAGCAGTCAATCCATATAACTGGCTTTCCTGCATAACTTCCTAGTAATTACAAAATTCTCTGCAAGTGACTTGACTACGAATCTCACACAATTTCTGAATAAGACAAATTGGACTTAATGCCCAAGATTAATGGTCATGGAGATATACCACCTTGCATGAGGATCGAACTGACAAGCGTGTGAAGTTTCAAACCATTCCCTTCAGTAGTTATGGAGATACCAGCTTGCACGCAAAAACTTAACAGAGAATTTTAAGTCG